TGGCGAGATTTTCAACCGTGAAAGTTTCTCTCGATCGTTGAACTCTATATGAATGTTAAATAATACAGTTTCGAATAAGTGACAATGTGTGAAGGTACATCTTCTTTTCTTTTTTCTGTTTTCTTTTTCGCTTTTTTTCTTTTTTCGTTTTTTATTTTTTTATTTTTTTTTTTTTTCGTATATATATAAAGACAGACAATCAATTCATAGATTGTATCACTTTATTATTTGCATTCATAGTTTAGATAGAACATAACGAATTGAATTTTCATTTATTTTCAAATGATATTTTGTTTATTGTATATATATATATTGTTTATTATATATATAATTAATATAAATATTAATTAATTTAAATATTAATTATATGTATGTATGTCTAATTAATATAAATGTTAATTGAAAACGATTTTTTTCGTCGTTTTTTTTTTTTAATCAAGATCGACAATTAATTCGTAGACTACTACGTTATTATTTATTTTTATTATTATATATATAATATTATATATTATATTATATATTATATATATAATAATAATAATAATAAACAAACATCATTTGAAAATAAATGTGATTTCAATTCGTCAAGTTCTATTTAAATAATGAGTGCAAATAATAACGTGGTACAGTCTATGAATCAGTTGTCGATCTTGATAAAAAAAAAAAACAGAACAAAAATATATATATTTATAAAATATATTATATATATATATATATATATATATATATATATAATTATTGTAAATGTTAATTGAAAATGATGGAAAAAATTTTGTAAATGTTTTATTTTAAAGAATGTAGATGTTTAAACGATTTTTCATGAATTCTGAAAAATGTCACCTTGAGAATGAATAAATATTCTCCGTCGACTTGGCTCGCGAATTTTTGGAAAGATCTCAAATTGATCGGTCGAGCGTGTACAATAAACGTCGAATAAACTCATGAGGTATGCTGCTTTTAAAGGGCCAAGCAACAATACTAGATTCGAACGGTGTCAAGGCAAGAAGCTCGACAAAGCAAACGTCGATCTGTCGATTGTCAAACACCATGCGTTAAATGGTTTACGAGTCATTTTCGACTCTCGCTTTGAATTGAAGTGTTTACAATTTCATCGTGTCGGGGTAAAAAGAAGAAAAAAATGAAAAGAAAAAGTATCGTAAAACGTAACATTTGCAAAAAATATTTGCTAATATTCCCTCCCGTCTTTCGTTTTATTTTTTTTTTAATCATTTTATCGTATTTCGATGCTAATCGATAACGTTATCGTCTAATCATCTGATAGCGTACAAGTGAAATAATGAAAATATCGAAATATTATTTTATTATTACGAATAATGAATCTTGAATTGAAATATAAATTATTACATATTAATATTTTATTACTCTATAACATTTATAGACATGTATACATACATAAATATGATAATGCACGTATCATATAATGTCATTTATTTTTTTTAAATAAAAAGATTAGGTTCTACAAAAGAGATCACAGTGAATATATGGGTCATTAAATCAATATATTTCGTGTCTCAATCCATCTCTGAATTGATCGAGTTTCTTTAATGTAAGAAAAAAAAAAGAAAGAGAAAAAATAGACAGGAAGAAAAAAAAATCGTCGAGAAATAATGACCAGCTTGAACGAAATGATAGATCGTTGAATTTGCATAAATCAGAATCGTGGTATCCGTTAGACATTATCAGAATTCAATGCGAATGATCGTGGGTACATTTTATTTTTTTTTATTTTTTTTATTTTTTTTTTATTTTTTTTTATTTTTTTTTATTTTTTTTTATTTTTTTTTTATTTTTTTTTTTTTTTTAAAGATACCTAGCGTGGATCCGATTCTATAGCTTCAGTGTTTAAACAGTGTGTCGAGGAAAACCGGTTGAGTAAACATGCCGTACGAGATTTTGCGTTGGACTCGAACGAATGGATAAAATAGTTTAACGGGAAAAAGTGAGATAGGTATAAGAGGAAAAAAAAAGAAGGAAAGGAGAGAAAAAAGGAAAAAAGAAGCAGAGAGAGAGAGAGAGAGAGAGAGAGAGAGAGAGAGACGAACGAACGAACGAACGAACGAATAAATATGGATCGAAGTTTCAAGAACAACGTGGACTTTAAGATGAATCAGCAGAACTTTAAGTTGAGAGACTTTGGGATCGACGGTAAATTATCATCGTCCGTTCATTCGAAATTGATTCGGAGTAGTTTGGTAAGGACCGGTTCGTGTTATTCACAAATTGGATCTGTACAAATACGAGGAACATTTTTTAGCAACGGTAATAGGGATAGTAATAATCTTTCACAAAATGGGACCAATGAACTTAGCCACTCTCTACTCCCTTCGAACATAAGAGGTATCGATACATCGATCGTTTGCAACGATCATCTTCGAACTTCCTCTTCTTCCTCATCGTCGTCGTCCTCGCCGTCATCTTCGTCTTCGTCTTTTTCGTCTTCGTCTTCTTCTACTTCTACTACTTCTTCTTCTTTTTGCTCATCATCCTCGACTCAAGCTCGAAAGATTGGCCAATCACCGAGTAACCTATTCGCCGATAACTTTCAAACTTCCACTTCAACCAATAACAACAACAACAACAACAACAACAATGGCGTCCCTTTGTCGGGAACGACTAGTTCGATGCATCAAGTAAACGTTTCTTCGATACCATCGCCGAATTATTGGAAGCAATATGGCGGTCAGGAGAGCGGGGTAAATATATGTTTAACATGATACATGCGGATCCGATTGTAATTGTGTTATTACGGACATGTACACACACGTACATACACACATTCATATATATAAATTACAAGTTGAAGTAATTTGGTCGATCGATCATAAGTACGGTACACCATAGTTTGCTTACTATACGGCCAAGGACCAAGGAATTAGCTCGAGTTGACGTCCTCAACAAGGAGTAGAAGGACCATCGTTGGTACCTAACGTTCTATCGCATATCTACTATGTATTCGAGACGCGTTTCCCTATCCCAGGCTAATTAGTATGTGCCGTGGCATCGGATATTAGGTAGTGTTCACAGTTGCATACGAAAGGAGAAGAGGAGCTGTTGGTTGATTGGTGGACATGGGTAGGATGCCGAGAAGGCTAAAGGGAAAGAAGGAGAGAAAGAGAGGAAGGTCGTCTGCATCCTCATAAAATATATTTTTATGGAATCCCAAGAACTACTTGTACCATTATGTATATATCTTTTTACGTTTATCTTAATCTTTTTTATCTTCTTTTTTTTCTTTTTTCTTTTCTTTTATTTCGGAACCATACCCATTCATTCAAATAGATTTATTGATAACTCGATAATCTTCTCTTTTATTTCTATTTTTCCTTTTCTTCTTTTTTTCTTTTATTGTTATGTAAAGCACGAATTTATTAAAACGTTCGCGCGAAATTTGAGAGTAATTGGAAATTTCCGAAATAATTTGAAAAGATCACGCATGTCCGATCGATACACTATGTAATAATTCACTCTCCTCTCTCTCTCTCTCTCTCTCTCTCTTTGTCTTTCTCTCTCTCTCTCTTTCTTTCTCTCTCTCTCTTTCTCTCTCTCTCGCTTTCTGTATATTTCTTAATTAAAGAAAATTAATTGATCATCGAAGTCGTTAATACGCGCAGGTGTATTTCTTGGAGGAAAGAAATAAATAAGGAGTAATCTCGAAAGTAATGGCAATTTAGCGTGTGCCGACTCGAGGACAATTATATTAATTACCTCGCGGTATCGTTAAAGCGTCTTTAATTTTCTCGCACGCACCGTATACTTCTTACTCGGTCGTAATATTCGCTTTTTATATATGCTATTAATAAAATTCGTATCCTGATTGGCTCTTATTATATTTTTATTTTCTCTCTCTCTCTCTCTCTCTCTCGCTCTTTCTCTCTCCATTTATTTCACTATATCATCGTAGTTCTTTTAGATCCTTCGAATGATGGTTTAGAAATTCTTCAATATTTTCCCATCCAAGAAATGATCAATAAATCTTTGGGAAGATAATAAAAAATAAAAGAGATATGAAAAAAAGAAAAGAAAAAAAAAATAAATAAAGTAAATAACATTAAAGAAAGAATCGTTAGGATGCGGGTAAAAGAAAGTAATCAATAGGATACCTATATGGGCAGACGCTTTGAAAATAGATTATAAAATGGTAGATAAGGTGCAATAATGTAGTACTTACGATTACCATATCTTCTTAATTATTCTAAGAAGTCTATGAAATATTTCAAACATAATATATGTCGTTGTACGAGCGACATTCTCATTTAACATTTAATTCAATGTGAAAATGAGCTTAACACAGCAATCTACATAAATCGATAAAGCGTTCGTAAAAACAAGCCATTAGAACCATGAAACTCGTCTTTGTTTAGTATTTCATCTTTGTCCGACTTTCATTTACGAGATGTTACAAAATTAAATGGCATAAATTCGATCTTTTAAAGTTATTTGTTATTGAAAAGTAATGAAACGGGTTAATCGTTTAACTCCATTATATCCGGTAAAAACTTATGGAATAATCGTAAGATCGTCGGAGTATGACCTTGAACGAAAGAAGGGCCGTTAGACGCAACAAGGAGATTACGAGAGAAAGACGAGGACGCATCAGACAGATGTGACCTCCTTCTAGCAAATCTTTCGTTACATTCGAGTATTCTTCGCTTACGTTTTAATCCATCTTCGAGCAATAACGTTTAAACGATACACTTGATACAATATTCGACATTATTAAATTGAATGATTTTTTTTTTTTTAAGACGTTCTTGGCAAATCATTTATTATTATTTTATTATTATTTTATTATTATTATTATTATTATTATTATTATTATTATTATTATTATTATTATTATTATTATTATTATTATTATTATTATTATTATTATTCGAATAGTAAGTAATTAAATTATGAATTACTTAAATAAATAAATTATTTTATTATTATTATTATTATTATTATTATTATTATTATTATTATTATTATTATCTTTTTTGTTTTATCGTTCATTTAATTAACTGAAATGATTTTAACGAAACATCTTTTCTTTTTCTTTTGTTTTTTTTTCATTCTCTATGTAAAAACTTATTTATATTCGATTTAATTGCGTTAGTCTGCGTCGGAGCATATACAGATACGTTTAATTGTAACGTGCAAACAATTATAATTACAAAACGTTTTCTACGAATCGCGGGAATGGACTGAAAAAAGAGCAAGCTAGCTCTTGTCTAGCGAGTGAAAATCTCTTCGTCTTCCTGAAAACGAGAGAAAATGATCTTCCTGCGCCTAACCGACAATAGGGTCTGGTCGACCGACCGAGAGTGGCCACTTGCATTCCTCGCGTGTTAACCAAGGATATCGTATCGTGGCTGAGGTCGACTCTAAGGAGAAAAAAAAAAGAAGAAGAAAAGAGAAAGAAAAAGCAAACAACAAGTAGATAATCGCTGCACGGAGAGTAATTCAAGCGAATTTTCGAACCGTCGAATGATTAGCCATATTATTTACGAACTTGGAATTCTTCTTCGTATTAACTTTCACGATGTTACGACGAACAACATTAAAGTTGTATTTAATTTATGTTCGTAATTAATAATGATCACGTTTTTTCTTTTTATCTTTTTCTTTTTTGTTTATTTGTTTTTTTGCTTTATATATATATATATATATATATATATATATATATATATATATATATATATATGATTACAGAACTTATATATATGATTCTTATTATATTATATATATGATTACTTATATATATGAATCACAGAAACATATAATACGAATACCTATTAACATATGTGTCTACGTATTTATCTTCGTTTTTAATATGTAAAAGATTTGTTTCAGTAATAACTATCAAGTGATCTAATAAATCAATAATGTAAAAAAAGGAAATAAAATTTATCATTTATCTTTCGTTACATTGGTATGTCTTATAATAATCATAAAACAAATATATGATTCATGATAGTTTCATTATCATCATCAGTTCGTTTCTTTTATATCAAACAATGTATATATTTATATAATACATATATCAAATTTATTTATATATTCAATTTATAAATGTACATCCATTATGGATATATATATATATATGTGTGTGTGTGTTATAGATACATATACATATTTATATATCCATATATAATATATGTATAATGATATTTATTCTGTCTTTTTTCTTCTTTTTATATATATATATTTTACATCTAACGTAATTCGAGGAGCATGAGTTCTGGTTTCAAGATACAACGGCATTATTCGTAAACGTATCCAAAGACAATGACTAAACTTTATCGTTTATAATATCGCGTTCGGTGAGTCATCGGATTGGATACTACTCTCCTCGGTGAATTACGATGGAATAAGAAAATCATCGTGTGTGTCGTTTAGTGTAGCGTAGTGTAGTATCGTGTTGTGTCGTGTTGTGTCATTGGGGGTTGGAGGGAAGGAGAGTTGGTGCAAACAATGTTGGAAACGTGATAACCTAAGAGGGAAAAGAAACAAGAAAGAATTCGTGAAATCGAAATAGAGAAGAAGCGGAGCTGTCGGACGTTAAACGCGTTGAGTTTTCTAAAGTAGTAGAGAAGAGTTCTACAAAACGAGATTCGAGAAAACGAGACTACTATACATATGTGTCTATTTCTTTTTCTTTCTCTTTCTCTTGTGAATGAAGTCGATAAGCGATCGTACGGTATTCCATGCACGCACCCCGAACGAACGAAAGTTTCTTCGGCAGCCAAGAGAATCGACGACTACAACGACGACTACAACGACGACTACAACGACGACGACGACGACGACGACGACGACGACGACGACGACGACGACGATGACAACGACAACGACGACGACGACGACAACGGCAGAACGGAACTTCGTGGGCCCCTTGTAATTCCGCGCAAACGTCGTCTTTTATGCAGACTTAAATCACATTCTCCAAGCATGAGTCGTAGCCTCTCAGTGCGAAAGAAACTCACGTTCGAATAAGAGATATATTCTAGCTTGTGATTCGCGAACGAAAAACATTCTTTCTCTTTCTTTCTCTTTCTGTCCCTCTATCTCTTTTTTCTCTATTCAATCGCGACAACACAGAGAGGAATCGTAGATTTGATCCTTTTGCGGGAGGCTGACTTAACATGGTCTCGAGTCGCATTCCCTTCGAATGATTCGAACTCCGCCAAGAAGAAAAAAGATAGTTTACTCTCTCGATAGAATTCTCTCGCGCACAAGAGAGTCCGATTATCTTACGGCCGTTAACGGCGTACGCGTAATTTGTTATTTGATCCCGAACATTAGCCAGTGAGCCAGTGGTAGATAAGATATAAAAGAAACAACAAAGGGGACAGTTAATTATTTTCAATAATAGTTAATTATTTGCAATAAGCAATAATAAAAAAAGATGATTAATGCGGATGCATTCGCGGGATTTCATTATTTGTTATTATCGAATTATTTAAAATAATCATTGCTGCACGATCAAAGGAAATAAGCTTTTCCATTGTTAATGGAACCATTTAAATTAATTAATTAAAATTTCTTCATTTCTGAATAAAATGGTGTTAGTCCGATCGGAAATAAACGTTAATAAGTGTGAACGTATTTTAAATTATCGTATATGAGTGTAATGGTAACTTGTTAAAAAAGTTCACGTAGCTCGTATCAGCCCGCTAATTGTTGATTATGCAGCCGTTTGTCTTGGCTC